AAGGGGTGAAATGGAGTGCCATGCGTTAAGTAGAATTGTTGTATCAACAGTAGGTGATCTACCTTGACTTAAAATCAAAGGTTGATTGCGGTCCGCTAGAGCTGAAAAAATTGTGAATTGTGAACGCTTTGTGTTTGCGTTGGTGATTTGTGCTCTGCGGACGATTGGAATAAACTTTTGAAACGTGTTCAGGCCAGAAGTTGGGATTTGTAAATCTGGGGAACTGTGTTCAATGAGTTTGTTGAAATTACGAAATAAAATTAAAAATGTCAAGCAGTACTGTCGTTTTTCTACGTTGATGTGAAGCAATGGCGGAGAAATAGATTGTAGTGTAAAGTACACTGAAGTGGTTAGAGAAATCGATTGTTGTATGCCCGATAGTTGATGATAAACATGGTCATTTTATATAAAGGTATAAAAACAAATATAAAATGAATAAAAATATAGCAATGTGATTGTGGTTGAATAAAGTTGAAGTGGACAAAATCAAACATACAATATATAAAAGTAATAATAATGAAGAATTAAAGTGATTTTTGACAACAAATAAATCTTTTGTAATACTAAAATAATATTATGAAAAATAAAAGTAAAATTGTTTTTTTTTTTTTAATAATGTTGGCTTAGAAACTTGTGATTATATAATTGAAAGGTAAAAAATAAAAAATAAAATATTTTATACAAAAAATAATATAGTTAAAGATTACTACAATGAGTAGATGAAGGTTTAGTATTTCTTCTAAAAAGAAGTTTCAAATGTGTTTTATAAATCGAAAATTGAGAAGCGCAATTTACTGCTTGGATTGGTTACTAAAATGTTGTGTATTGTGATCTCAATTCAACATGTAAAATGTTTGAAATGTAGAAAAAAATGAGATTTACACAGGATCAGAAAATATCAAAATGTTCAATTTAAGGTAGGTCTTGTTCAAATTCAAATATCTAAATGTTTTTAAAAGTTAGGTTAAGATATCGACTGCCAATGCAGCAAAATGTGTGGAATAAAAGAATGTATAGGACACGGCCTTAATTTATTGGAGGCGAGTAAGGGGGGAGAGTGTCAATGGATTTAGGTGACGCGGCATGGTCTCGAGTTGTTTAGTCTACTGATGGGAAACATGTTACACATGGCGGTCATTCCGAAAGCGGATTTTTAGTTGACAGCTTTGTTAGCGGAAGAGAGGTGATTACGTCCATTTTTACGACCGGGCGTGCAATGTTTATTATTTTTGAAGGGGAAGATGTGGGGGTTGTCTACAGCGCACTGGCTTGAAATTCTATCTCTTCTAGTCTGGATCTGGTGGGTTCAAAGATTATATTGTGTGAGATAGAGTAAGTAAGTAAGTAATATAGATCCAAATGGGTTGTTGTAGTGTATGTAGATAGAATAGGTTTGTGAATATAACGGGAAATTTTCTGGTCGCTACTTGAGGTTTGTTTTAAAACGATCGATATTAAATATATCTGGATTTAAATGTAGGAATGGCTGGGAAGTTTGAGGCGGTATAATTCGGAATAGTTGCGTCTCGAAGATATCTGGAGTCAAATGTTTGAATTCATTGAGATATACATCTTGAGACATTCGCTGTGGGCTTTGAATAAATCGGGTTTGTGGAGGTGTAATGTACAGAACATTCTCTGTGTGATATTTTAATTTATTGACATGTATGGTGTCACTGTCTCTATTGAGAAGTTGATTGGAGCGATCTATTCGAACGACATTGGGTGAGATTATTTCAATTACTGTATATGGTCCAGTAAAATATGGTGTTAATTTACCTGTGTCGGAATGTCTATAATTTTTTACCAAAACAAGATCATTCACTTCGAAATGTGGTGTTCTGTGCTGCTTATCAAATGTTTCTTTATCTTTTTTATGCTTATTTTGGGTACGAGAGCGTGCTATCTCGCTAGCTCTAGTTATTTCGGGGTATGGGTTAAGATGAGTTTTTAGATCTGGGGGGACAACATTGAACATTAAGTAGGTGGGTGGAAAACTTGTGACAGAATGGGGTGGGTTATTATACGTCTGAGTGACGCGTTTAACTAGTTGAGTCCAGGAAACTTTCGGATTTTCTAGATAAGCTAGTCTGAGTTTGCCTGTAATGGTCGCATTTAAGCGTTCTATTAAACCGTTTGCTTGTGGGTTATTGCTTGTGGTGAGTAGGGGTTGTATACCTTGTGTTATTAGAAATTTACGGAATTTTTCTGAGGTAAAAGCGGGCGCTCTGTCAGATAACAGACGTTTTGGAAATCCTTGTTGTAGTACAGTTTTGAGGGTTTGAATGTACGTTAGGGTGCTGGTTTACTGGTTAAACTTCCTTTGAGAGTGGTGAAAGCTTGTTGGCAGTTTTATGGTCTATTTGAAAGATGTAGTTTTCTCTGTGTTCGTAAGTGTTGTGTTTCGACGTTGTCGCGGACTTAGTAAAAATGTTATAAAATGATGTCAGGTTTAGATGTGAGTAAAAGTGCGACTTTCGACATGGACACGCTTTGGGCTGAGATGTGTCACAGGCATGAAGGCGTCTTTGTGGCCTGTTAAGTGAGAGAAATTGTTGTGATGCGCTGTGTGACACGAGTGAGTGAATTGAATAGAAAGGTGTCACGTGAATTCTTTGTTTTTGGTACAGCATTTAACCTGTTTCAGCATGAATAACAAATTTACTAGTCATGAGTGGTGGTTGTACAAAACACATCGATATATTTTGGCTGTTAGTGGATGTGGAACGTTTAGTGGCGACGATATGGAGCTTGTGTGGCTCGAGATTGATTTGTTGCTAAGTCGCGCGCTAAAAGCCGGTGGCCAATTGGAGAAAGGGATGGGGGTTGTGTTGAAGTTTGTTGAGAGAGATGTTTGGATGATTAATAATTATGCATGTAAACGGAAAGGACGAGGGAGTGAAAATATGTTGGATTTTTAACTTGTTTTGGGGAAGAACAGTTACTTTTCTAGTTGTGATTTTGAAGATATTGTATCTTTCGATTTTTGCAATTAAAAAAAAATGCGTTTCACCTATGTTTATTAAAATTTGAATATATTTTTTTAAATCGTTGATTATGGTAGTGCGAAAATTAACTTTGTAAAAGGGCAATGGCGTAATAGTGACTTATAATTTGAATGAGGCGTTTACATAAAATAGCGAACATAACAATGATTTTTGCAAAGTTTTGAGTATTTGATTAAGAAATTGGTGTTTTGGTATAAATATAAGATATTAAGAAAAACACACAAATAAGTTTAGAATTATGATTCGAGTAATTAAAAAAATAATGATTTTTTTCTTTAAATGTTAAATTGAAAGTAATGAATTAAAATTTATAAGTTGCATTAAATAAAGTACAAATTGATAAATGAGGGTGTACAAGATTTAAAATTTGAATTGAAATGATATAAAAATGGTAAAAATTGATTTAAAATGATTACAGTGAAAATAAACATTAAAATTATGGAGAATCAAGTTGTGAGCATGAGGAGAGAGTTAGGTAGAATTTTTAAAACTCACAGTTTTGAGGATTGTTCAGTCAGGAGACTTGGTCTTTAGTTGTTGTCCTGATGATGCAGAAGACGCTCCATGTAGAGCTTGTAGAAGCTTGTAACTTCTGTTTGTGACGGCGGCATGTCGCCTGGAAGATGGTTGCGTTGTAAGGCCGAAGGTGGGGAACTTCTCACTGGCCTTTTTTGCGGGATTTTCGGCGGTGTCGTTGAGGTGTTGACAGCTTGCTCCTGAAATATAGTCTCTTGTTGGGGAGAGATTGCTCGGTCGTTTGGGTGGAATGGCGGGTTGATTCCTCCATCTTTTCTCTTTGTCGCTTCTATCTGGACAGGCTTCTTAACTTCTTCGTTGTGGTCTTACTTCGTTTTGGTCATCCTGTCGGCTAATCTGTAATAAGGAGTTGTCGACTTATCTGTGATGAGGCATCCTGTCGACTCTCGCTATAAGCTGTGGTAACCGAGGGTCAAACCCGTAGTAACCGAGTGGGACAGTCAGGGCGTGGAGAGTTTTCCAGTACCTCTCTGCACCTTGTAGGACCTTTAACAGTTCTCACAGAGTACAGGCAGTCGTGGTCGAGGCAGTGTGGAAAGCTTGGGAATGTCCACACACACAAAACGAAGAGACACAGTTGTAGTAGGAAATTTCAATGAACAGATAGGAGTCGAGCTAAGAGCAAGATGGAGTTAAAGAATATTTCTTACTGTTTTACATGGTGATGAGGTGGTCCTGGCTAAGACCGACAAGGGCTCACGCCGACGGTGAAGTGACTGACTACAAAGGGCTAAAACCGAGGTTTTTTATATACCATTCCCGAGGAGGGGGGGGGAGTTGGACTTTGAACGTCTGCACCCTTTGACCTTGATGGCAACGACTCGCTAAATTCCTCTTTAGGGTTTCTATCTCGACCTCTTTCTTAGACGTTTTTGAACTTCTCAATCTTGATTTAACTCAGCTCTTAATCTATTACACAGTTTTATTTATTCATCCTCAGTTTGTACAAAGTACATTACATATGGTGATGCAATGACACATATCAATCATGTGTATAATTATTTATAGATGTGGTTCTATATACAACATGACAATCTTGTTATAAGTATTATACAATATAGGGTTGTTGGTTTAAATTACCATATATATGAATTCAATTTTAGACTTTAATATTTTATAAAATATTAATTAATAATTATTTCTTTCAAAATGTTTTAAAATATATATCTTGTCACACTGCTGTAAAATTAAGAATGTAAATAACTCTAAGGTATAAGTTAAACCTTTTGTTTTGTTCTTTTAATTTTTAATAAACTAATTTTCAATTACTAAAATCGTATGTATTCATTTCTAAAATAAAATAAAACCTAAAACCATTTTTTCTAACAGTGGCAGCATAAAGTGTGGTTGTAACTTAAAATCTAAAATCGTAAAAATAAAAATGGCTGCTGTTATGGAAGATATTAATATATACAGTTATCAGCGTCATGCATTCTTTCTTAATTCTGTCTGTTTGCTTTTGGTTCAGTGGTGGAATGCTCGCCTGCCACGCGGGCGCCCCGGGTTCGCTTACCGGAAGATGCATTTTTTTTTTTTTTTTACAATTTTTAAAACTCATTTATATTATTAAAATATATGTGCTTTTCCTGTCTATGTAAAGATTTATGGTCTATGTACACAAGTATACAAGTATGTTTACAAGTTATTTGCAAATTGCCTGGCAAATTTGCCCTTTTGCTCGCGAGCAGCGCCTCTAGCGGTGAAGATGGGAGGTTATATCAGCTAACCTAATGGACATGTAAAACGTGTTTTAACAGGACATAGAGAAAAATCTGGAAAATATATTTTTCGGATTTTTAGTCAAGAAAAATAAATTGACAGGTTCTGGGAAAAAAGTAGTTGTTTTTTATTCAGAAAATGATGATGACAATATTGCTGTATCATATTTAATTATCAGATACAAAATTATATCCGGAAAAAATCCAAAAAGCAGAGACCACGGGTGAAGCCAGTTCATTTTTAGTATGCAGGAACAAAATTCTAACAGAAGAACATTCATTCGAGCAGAAGACACAAAGCCAGAACATCTCTTTATAAAAATATCGCTTCTCAGACACAAAGTTTGGAGCGGGACGTTTCACAAGAATGACATTCACTGCTCCAATTTATAATTGTAACGAATAGTATTTGAATAAAAGCATTTAATCGGGGTAAAACCCAGGCATTGCCCTTTTTTAATCAATTCTGTCACCGTTTGCTTTTGTGAATTGAATAAATACCCAAATATGGCCATTTCTCATAACCATAGGTGGTTCAGTGGTAGAATGCTCGCCTGCCACGCGGGCGGCACGGGTTCGATTTCTGGCCGATGCATTTTTTTTTTTTTTTTTACAATTTTTAAAACTCATTTATATATTATCTGGTTCAAATCACATTAATAGGTACCGCTCAGCAAGAGCAACCTAGTTCATGATAATTGAACAATGAATAATATGTGATGGTTATTCACATATTAAACAATTTTTAACACGGGATTCAATCCCGGTTCATGACTGTCGGGAATCGAGCGTGTTACCCTCTCATCCACCGACTTGTTGTTATTTATATACTAGCGGACGTACCCGGCTTCGCCCGGGTTTTACCCGAGTAAAGGTTTGTCTAACGAATCTCTCGATAAAGTGAACATTTTTTCCCGGTCCCTTGAAAAATACTCGATAAGTTGAATAAAATCAATATTAATTGGTTCCCTCGGTAATTGGAAGTTAAAGGAATAGTATCTTGCCTTGGAATTGTATCATTATTCTTGTATGGACGTACCCGGCTTCGCCCGGGTTTTACCCGAGTAAAGGTTTGTCTAAAGAATCTCTCGATAAAGTGAACATTTTTTCCCGTTCCCTTGAAAAGTTTTCGATAAGTTGAATAAAATCAATATTAATTGGTTCCCTCGGTAATTGGAAGTTAAAGGAATAGTTTCTTGCCTTGGAATTGTATCATTATTCTTGTATGGACGTACCCGGCTTCGCCCGGGTTTTACCCGAGTAAAGGTTTGTCTAACGAATCTCTCAATAAAGTGAACATTTTTTCCCGGTCCCTTGAAAAATACTCGATAAGTTGAATAAAATCAATATCAATTGGTTCCCTCGGTAATTGGAAGTTAAAGGAATAGTATCTTGCCTTGGAATTGTATCATTATTCTTGTCTCAAATAAATTGCCGTGTCATCCTGAATTTTGTCTTTCCTAATTTTCTACATTACAAAATCATCGTATGATCTTGATAATATTTAGAGCAGATTGTTGAATTATAACAGATAAATTAGAATATTTATCTTGATTATTTTAAAGCGAAAAGTTATTTCAAAAATTTTATTTGCTAGAAACCTTCCCAGTACTATACTAAATAACTTCCCAAAGTTTCATGGCGTTCCAATGAGTGGTTTGGTCAGGCATAAAGGACAAACAGACACACACACACACACATACATTCATTTTTATATATATAGATTATACAAGAATGTTTTCTATGGCGCCAATTTATAATTGTAATGAATAGTATTTGAATAAAAGCATTTAATCGGGTAAACCCCTGG